CATGGCAAAATACACGGTTAAAATACACATGTTCACCCTATTGAGACCAGTTGTTATGGTGGAAACTTTGGCCGCTTTGCGGGACGGGAAAATATCATCAGATCGGAATGAAATTTTGCACAGAACCTTGTACCATAGTATCGACAAGAATTCCGACCCGGCCCGACGAATCCGACAAACTTTTTTTTTTTGCCATGAAAATGTGGACCACCCTAATACGCACCCAACACTTTGGTTAGGCTACGGTGGATTCAGTTTGTCAGTAAACTGTCAAACGTCTGGCGAGATATACAGAAACACATGTTTAAGCTATTAACACTGGCATTCACAAATTCACTTTCCTGTCACACACACACACACACACACACACACACACACACACACACACACACACACACACACACACACACACACACTAATACACACACTATGGATGATATACATAAGTTACTGGCTCTTTGATGTATACTGCTGGATTGATTCAAACTCTTTTACCTGCTAAATTACTTACTATCGACTGAGTAGGGTAAGGTAGAGAAATAGGAGCAGGGCTGTGGGGGGCAGTTTGTGTCGGCAGAGAGTAATAACACTCACCAATATCCACGAGTTGTCCCCGCTGCCTAAACGAGTCAAAATGTCATCCAGAGTAGAAAAAAGAAAAACTACACAGGGACCCGAATTCCGCATGTATTCCTCCAGTAAATTATAATTTTCTTTGACACGCCTTCCCAATGCCGTTATGAACCTCGTCTTGAACAGGTATTATCTTTCTTTTTTTTTTTTTCCTGCAGGAAAAAAAGGGTAATAGTGGTCCTCTCTTCAGCCTCAAGGGAGCACACTTTAAACCCATAGAGGGTTCAGAGGCTAATTGGATATATCACTGTGAAAAACATTTAAAATCCCAAATCAATACCTGCCTCTTTAATGCTTTTCCCGAAGAAGTGCTCCTCTCTATTGCTGATGACCGCCCCTCTCTCTTTCCACTCACACCCATCATGCTGTACAATCCTTCACTGCCTATGGGGGCCGAGGGATACGCATTGGGGTCAATGAGCTAAGGGCGTGTGCAGGCCAAAACTTAGTGAGGCCCACGGGGGTCTTACAATTGATATGTGCCTGGTGATGTACATGTGAAATAACATTTAAGTGAACATTTCTTGCAAGACAAGAGTGGGTCGGTGCAACAGGACATAAAGGATGTAGCAACAGGCACTGTGTAAATAGCTACATGTCAAACACAAGAAGAACACAGATTGTTTCGTGACCGTTGATGTGCTTGCTTATGTTGCTTCAGGTCAGAGTAGAGGTTTTGTGTGTGCAGGGTACATTGCTGTGTAATAACTGAACTGCAACACATCCTGTGCTTGCGTCTGGATCACGAAGAATGTTTAAGGTTTTGGTTAGCAACATTATTAGTTTGTCGTACAATGAGATTTATTGCACAATGAATTAACAAAATTACAAAACTAGAATGACTACCTACCTTTTTTTTTTTTTTTTTTAAATAAGATTATGGTATATGTCCTTGAGATCGGTGGTGGAACAGAACCTTTATGTGTGGCATTGTTTCTTGAGGTGACACCGTCCAACCCAAACTGTTTGATCACCATTTTTTCTCTTCATGTGTGGTGTCTGTCACAGATAATAATCTTTGAACAGGTTGGAGACTTGGTGCTACTTGGAGGAAAGAAGGTATTCTGTGACCAGTGGAAGTTTTGAATCTCATTGAATGGCCATGCCATGTGGGATCCCCCAAGGGTCAGTCATTTAACCCCTTTTGTTCAGGATGGGTGAAATGCTTCAGCATGCTAATGTTATGCTGCACACAAATAGGATGCCAACAGAAGTGAAGTAAATCCCGAGTGTAAATGCTTTTAAATTCAGGTTATATACGTAGCTATTTCCCCCATACCTTTGATTAAGTCTTCACATCATTTTAAAATCATTCGTTCTCAAAGGTTTTTTTTCTTCTAGAAAACTATTCTCATTTATTTACTTAGATCGGTGGTGGAACAGAACCTTTATGTGTGGCATTGTTTCTTGAGGTGACACCGTCCAACCCAAACTGTTTGATCACCATTTTTTCTCTTCATGTGTGGTGTCTGTCACAGATAATAATCTTTGAACAGGTTGGAGACTTGGTGCTACTTGGAGGAAAGAAGGTATTCTGTGACCAGTGGAAGTTTTGAATCTCATTGAATGGCCATGCCATGTGGGATCCCCCAAGGGTCAGTCATTTAACCCCTTTTGTTCAGGATGGGTGAAATGCTTCAGCATGCTAATGTTATGCTGCACACAAATAGGATGCCAACAGAAGTGAAGTAAATCCCGAGTGTAAATGCTTTTAAATTCAGGTTATATACGTAGCTATTTCCCCCATACCTTTGATTAAGTCTTCACATCATTTTAAAATCATTCGTTCTCAAAGGTTTTTTTTCTTCTAGAAAACTATTCTCATTTATTTACTTTACCTTCAATATTTTTAATTCTATTATTTAATTATATTTCTATTCATGTTTTAATTTTGTCAACGTACGTTCTTTTTGTAATTAGTGTAAGCCACTTTTGTTTTCTCAGATTTTCTTCTGAATGTCATTTGCAAATGGGGGTTAAGAGCTGTGTCTTTGCTTGTGTGAAGCACATTGGGTTAACTTGGGTATGAAATGTGCTTTATAGATAAAGCTGGCTTGTCTTGCCCTTGCCTTTAAAGATTTGAAAACTCCCAATATGCTTCCTGACCTGATATGTAAAGAAGAATGTCGAAATAGTTATCCAGATTTTGTGGTTCAATTTGTTGTTGAGTACAGGACAATGGCATCTTGTTTGGAGGCCCCTGATTAAAATGTGCTGTGAGGATGCATTGCAGCTCTGCTCTGACTTCTGTGCAGTGCCAGTCGTATTGCCTTTGACATAGTTTCATTTCCAGAAAAACAGGAAGCAGGGATGGTTGTCTTGCACTTCTGTCCCAGCAGCTGAAGTTAATGTGACCCTAGATGTGCATCGATGTACTGTACATGTGTGTTTGTCCATGTTTGTGCGTCGGTGCATGTCACAAGGTCAGTGTTCTTGGTGTGTTCATCAGAGATCTCCGTCTTGCTGATGTTGCTGCTGTTAGTCATGTTAGAGTGACAATGGCTCCTCTTTTCTACCTCCGTGAAAAGGTTCTTCAGGGCATGAACCAGAAGGCTCAGGCACTCTTGGTCAAGTGGAAGTTGATCATAGAAAGCGCTCCCCATTTTTCACAAACATGTTGCATCTGACGTTGTGTTTTTGTTGGAGAGCGTCCGAACTCTTTTTTACCGCTTCACCTCCTCGTCCCTTCTCCCATTACCTTTCCTCTCCTGTCAACTTCCCTCCTCCACTTTCTCCCCCCCATCCCACGCTTTCCTTCCTCTGTTTGCTTTTGCTCCCTTGATTCACTTTCAGTGCCAACTTTTCGGGGAAAAAAAAACTCATTTTGAATGATGAGCAAGCTGTAGTATTTTCCACTCCACTCTACTTTGGTCTATTCCTTCTCTGCTACTATACACATGCACTTAGAACCATTACTCTGATACATTTTTATGAATAATTCGGTCAGTCACATAAAACTCCTGAACGACGGGTTTATCGTTACAGATGAACACCAAGCCGACTCTGCGTAATATGTGGCGACATCCTCAAAGATGAGGCAATGAAGCTTTCAGAACTGCCAGAAATGACTGAATACCTCACTCCCGTTTCCATGATCCTATCTTTGTGATGAGGGTTTTTTGAACATTTAACACACACATATGAGACGGCACATGGATGACCCTCCCTCCCATTACTTTTCTTTCTCTGCTGCTCTGTGAAAACATTGCTTCACGTGAAAACCAGCCAGTGGCACAAAAAAAAAAAAAAGGTTGGGGAACACTGCTCCATAGTATTCTGATCAGCGGAATGATCAGCAAAGTTGAATTCCGTAAAGGTTGTACACGTTCTTCAGGAAAATAAAAGTTTCAGATCTGGCTCTGTCTGTCATTGTGTGTGAAACTGTCATATCTTGCAAGACTTCATCTTCGTGATCAAGTGTGCTCAAGTGTGTCGGGTTTTTTCATTGGATACCTTAGCAAAGACGAGAAGTAGGATGAAGACAAAAGAATCAGAAATGGATGCCAGCTATAAGAAAAGTGGTGCACATGGTCTGTCTCTCTCCTCGAGTCCCACATTGTTACTCTTACCATTGTCAAATCCGCTCTTCTTGTCCCGGCTTGAATGCCTTGCAACGTCTGGCGACTTGCTTTGTGCCAACCTAATTTACGATATATTAACATCAGATTTCTTATGAAATGAGTCAATTTTCATTTGGTTTACTTTGTGGTCATGTTTTGTGTTTTGGCGGGCAGTACGCGTACAAATGAATACAAATGGAAACATCACCTCTGTAGCTATATGAGTAAACACGAGACAGGTTTGGACAGAGGACCTCAGAGTGTGCGGCATATGTCTTCAATGTATCCATCTTAATATCATAGAAGTAACAAAAGACAGCAGAATAGTTTATATACTACCGTATGAATTGATGTAATTTTATTCATGTGAAATTGTACCGAAATCGAGAGGAACCACCCATCGTCCTTTCGGCTTGATCTCTTTTTCTGTTTCTTTTTGTGTGAATCACAAGAGTCCTATGATAATAAAGGTCGAAAAGTGAAAGGGAGTTCATCATGATATTAATAGCTCTTCCCGTTTTCTTAATGCATTTGGCAAAGATTGCAGATCTGAAGTGAAACACCGATCGTCCATCATCAAATAAACAAGATGCTGCAGCCTTCCGTGGCGCTCACACACGCGTATCGAATAAACCCTCCCCGCTTGACACACGTCCGTATTTGGCCCAAGCCCTCCTCCATTTCAACTCCTGTGACAGATGCCCCCACTCCAACTGCTGCTAATCACATTACGTTGAATCTGTTGCACTTAAATCCATAAATGCTGTGTGTATTAATCGCGGGGAATCTCATTATCATGTCTATATTAATTAAAGCCATCTGCCGGTGATGGAGGGAGGCGGAGGCTGACGTGTCAAGCTGTTGGGGTTTGAAGGCATTTGAGCTGAAGTTAAAGGAACGTGGCAGTCCACCAGTGCAGCTAATTTCTCCTCATTTGAAAGGTAAAACTTTCTCGCTCACTGATGATGTCTGACAGCAGGCTGAAAGAGATCTACGTTGGATTCAAGGTCGACAGTTGGTAACGTGACTTGACAAGAACTTCCCTGGTTCGGTGTCAGAGCAATCCTCTTTAGCTGGTGATCATATATCCATCTGTGTCTGCTGTCAGAATATATTATTCATTCATGGCGGGAACACATTCGCATGTAGGCTTTCAGGTTCCATCTGTAGTACTGCGAATGCAACGTTTAAAGACGAACCGCAACAACCAAGGGAAAGTAGGCAAGCAGCAGTCTTCGCCTTACTCCCTTTCAATCGCAAATTCCCGGTTCCCACCACACACGAGGCTGTTTGACTGCCCGTAAGTGATGGCGTTAAAGCTTTTCGTCTCTCATCATGAAGGAGTTGCCTCGCAGCTGAGGGGAGGCAAGCGCCGAGCTGAAGTTCAAAACAACATAATATTGAACTCAGCATTATTCAGAAAAGGAAACGGCGTGAGGTTTTGATACAGTACGTTGCCTTTTGCTGCGGGAAGCGATGGCTCCCAGGCAGACACAGAGTCAAAGATGGAGGTGGAGTTACGGCAACTTGATAAAAGATGTGAGAGGCGTGCTCGCTGGAAGAATAAAGCAACCATGTGCTGCACTGTATATAGCCTCGCACATCCATCCATCGCATTGTGCCAGCCCGCACCTTTATCTCTCATACTTCAAGGCGGCGAGGAGGGAAAACATGTCAGAGACTCGGGGTATCATCCTGGGCGGCCAGCTTTTCCGTCTCCGACACGCACAACAAATAGACGCCATCACGAGGCCGCGCCTGAATGACAGCTGATTGGGATTGCCTGCCAGCGCCCACCTCTCCTCCTCTCCGCGCTCGCCTCTCATCTCAAGCGCTCATCTGATTTGAACCATTAGCATTCTTTTCCCTGTGTTGTTCACACGACTGTCAGGCTCAACGGCGTAGCCTCAGTCTGACGCGGTCGAACTGTCGCCCGGGGGGGCCTCACCTGAAAGGGCTGACAACTGCCTACATAATCAGCCCCTTTGCCTGGATGCTGGTAGAGCCAGACCAGAGTGCAGGTGAGGCATGGGTGGGGGGCTGGATTTTTTCACAATTGGAGAACTGGATTGTCAAGAGCTTGTTCTCTTGACCGTTTTGCAAAATAGCCAAAAATAGATGTACTGTACTGGCATGATTCAAAAATGCACACTTTTTTCCCTTAAAGAATGCACCTTATTATAAGTTACATTGATGGATAAGAATGCGTCCAAGTTTTGTGGTGATGGTGTGGAGGCAGACGCAATGAAGCCATGTGGGAGAATCAAAGCACTAAATTAACAAAGTAAAAAAAAAAAAAAAAAAACAGAAAATTCAAAAAGACTCAAAGCACTCGCCACTTGACCACACGACGCGGAAAGATGACATATGTACGATGACAATGAACTACCAGACAGAACAAAACCAGGGAGCTAAATGCAAGCAAACTAAGGAGCCAATGAGGCACGTTTGGACAAGACACGAGTGGCCGGAGGGAGCTTGTTGGCTGACACAAGGAACAGGTGAATGAGAGGACAACAAAACGAGCAAACAAGACATGAACACACAAAACGAGGCAGTATATGAAAAAACAAATAAAATCTAATCAAAACGATACCAAATGTTGGTGACCAAATTGTGAGAAGACATCCAGGACAAAATCACAGCTGTCACCAAAATTACCCACTGGAAAATAAAAGCATAACTTTGACATCCCTCTGAACTCCTTCATGAGTGACAGATGAAGGGAAGAGTGTGTACTTGTGTGTGTTTATTCCCTTTTAAAAAGCAATCCAAAAATAAATCTGAGAATTGTGCAGTGTGTTGACGAGGAATATTAAGGAAAATGTTCAAGGGCAGAATGTAATGAGAGAGAGAAAGTAAGAAAATACTTTTGGTCTCCTTTGCCCAAGGGCCGTAGATTCACGACCTGCACCTCTAAAAACTTGCAAAAGGGAAGATCATTTTCAAGCCACAGAGCTCTCTCATTTAGCTCTTTCTTTTTTTTTTCCTTTCACTGCTTCCTGGAGTTGGACCTGGAAAGAACATAAGACATGACTTAATTCCATAAACTCGTACCGTGAAATAAATCTCAAACTGTGCTTTAGATGCCCAAGCCCTGCCCTTGACCCCTGACACCATGTTTTGAATCGGGAAGGGCTCCTGCAGGGCAACCCGAAAATAGATCTGTCACATTTCACATCTCGGTGTTGCTGTCCCCTACACTGACCCGCCCTGACCCGGACAGCAGCCTCTTTGTTTGCTTCTGTTTGCTCTGGAGTCAACCTTCCACGTCAGGCCAGGTCCAACCAAGCTCTCTTCAGTTTCTGTCAACCCTCTACCCTCACCCCATGTTCCTCTTGACTTCACTTTTTTTTTTCTGGTCTTTCCTCTGCATTTCCATTGCTTGCCTTCTTTTTTTCATTCTTATTCCAGTAGTAGTCACTCTCCCGTGAGATCAATTTACCCGAGTATATGGTCGAACCTTTTCCGCCTGACGCAGGATTCATCCGTACGACACTTTTATGGAACCCTCTCTCCTGTCATTCACCAGTTCTTCGTCTCAGCCTTTGAGAAGCTTTCGCTAACTTTCTTGCACCTGCCTTATTTCAAATTCAATGAAACCTCCAGAGATTCAACTAACTTTTAAAAGGATAGGGAGCATAACTCTTTGTCGCTTTCATTTGTCAGAACTGCATCCGTTTCACCTACTCGTTTTCCCTCTTTTCATCAATCCTCATATCCTCTTTCTTTTCCTCTCTCTTTTCACACTGCCACATTCATTCATTTATGGTCCATTTTTTTGTGTCTGAGCTGTCATTCCCAGTCCTCCTCTTACGTTCCTCTCCACGGGCCAAGTAACCTGTGCATGTTACTATGGAGGGCGAAAGGCAGGCCTGGCTCAACGCTCTGGGAATTGGACTAAAACCTTTACGAGGTATTAGTAGTGGTTGGTTACTGTATCACAAGCTACATCAAATTTGCCAGTTTCTCAACAGCTCATGTCAAAAAAATACCCCCCTCATACAAATTAAAAGTCATCTCTAGGCTCTGTCCATAGATCCAAGACAAATAAAGGTGATTTGGTTTGAAGCCTGACTGTGCTTTATATTATCCAGTTCATGAGTTGTGGCTGGCTCTGCAGAAAGCAGGGGTGCTTTGTCTTTATATTTTGCTTCACCAAAGAGTGCAAGTTGTGCTACTGAATGCAATGTTGTCAACCAGGGTCTCCATTCCAGCGAGGTTTACAGGATAGGCCCTCAAGTAGTTTTGGCCCATTTTTTGGCCTTTTGTAAGTGCATCGTGGGTGAGTTTTAATTTATTAATTGTTTTTTTTTCCAAAGCGGTTTGTTATGTGGCCACATGCTGTTCCATTCATTCTGGACAAAGCGTGCAGATCATTTCTTGAAAAATCCAGAAGTACGACACTTGTCGGGGGTACTGCAAATTCTACAATATATTGATCGAATATGAAGTGAACAAAAGCTAGCATCCTTACTTTAAATATATGAACAATGAATTCATTTTGTGTGAAAAATTATATTTTGGGAAAAAGGGGATGCAACCGCCGATGTAGCGCCCGGCCCTTTCTGACAGCTGAGGTCTTAAAAATGGTAGCTGATCTTTTCGAAGAGTGAAAGAAATCAATCAACACAACATAAAGATTCTTCTTATGTATATGTCCGACTTGGTGACCATATGGCACTTGTACATGTCACTGTCCAGACTACGGCTTTGCCATGGGCTGAACCAACCAATCATAGCGAAGTGAATGCCTACTGAGAAATTATAAATATAACAACATTGAATTGAAACACAATATAATTTGAGTAGTCTATTTGTTAAATTCTGGCTCAGAGTTTCGGATTTGGTGTGCACGTGTCCATGCGTTATAGCGTGTCTGTGTCATGGTGAGACTCTTTGGGTCGTGCCCCAGCTTGCAT